GAGAGAGAGAGAGAGAGAGAGAGAGAGAGAGAGAGAGAGAGAGAGAGAGAGAGAGAGAGAGAGAGAGAGAGAGAGAGAGAGAGAGAGAGAGAGAGAGAGAGAGAGAGAGAGAGAGAGAGAGAGAGAGAGAGAGAGAGAGAGAGAGAGAGAGAGAGAGAGAGAGAGAGAGAGAGAGAGAGAGAGAGAGAGAGAGAGAGAGAGAGAGAGAGAGAGAGAGAGAGAGAGAGAGAGAGAGAGAGAGAGAGAGAGAGAGAGAATACATAAGTGAAATCAATATGTGTGTGTGAGGTATGTCTATGTGTGTTAAATTGGACTAGATCAACACAAGAAGAGGATGAATGTCCATGCCAGAAGTCATACTTTGTTCCCCTAATCCTGAAGAACAGCAACCACAACTAAACAGAATAAAGACAATAACTAAGGGGCAAAAGAAAATCCCCTGCTAAGTTCATAATAATACTTCTTAACTTCCACAAAATAAAATATACAAATACTTTAAACAGATGGTAGCTTTATACATCCTAGATTCAGTTCAGCCTTTGAGTTTAAGAAGATGATAAATGTAACAAAACATGCCTTTACTATCACACATAATTGGCTACAGTTCTCATTGGGGTATTTCAAGCTCAGAGCAAACCACTTATCTTCACCAATAGGAAGCACAGTTGGCTATCACACATAATTGGCTACTCCTTTACTATCACCATAGCAAAAAGGGTTAGCATCTTCCGTTTGTTGTGTGACAATCACTGATGTGCTGCACTGCACTTACCCCCTACCTGTTGACATCCTTATTGTTAGTCTTGCACTTACAAGTGTAACCAATTTGAGATAGTGCGTAGTAGAATACCTTGTTTCAATGCATAAGGCAGCCACAAGTGTATATGATATTTTACTGATGATGATGCTTAGCAAGCATTAAGCAACTTTAATTTGGCACGCAAAAGTGTCTTCACTTTTCACTCAACAAGTGTTTCTCTCAATTTGCTTGCTAAAAAGATCTTGTCTATTATGCAGGTTCGTAAATTATGTTGATACAACTCTAGACAGTCTCCATTCAAACATTGAACCCGACAGAGGAATGTTAAAGTCGAGTTTGACATGACAATACATGATACCTGCTTTCCTAGTTGTTTTCTTTTTTCTTTGGCTTGTGCTAAAGCCTAGAAGAGCAAGCCTAAGATCAACTGAGACTTTCTTGGTGTTTTGCCTTCAAATACAAGTAACTTTTAGTTTCCTCAAATATGATTTCCTATGAGATGCTGGGAAATCTATTGAGCCAATAGAGCTGTTGTATGCAACCGGTGACAAGAGAGCATACGCAAAACATATAGAATAGCTATGGTCAAATTCATATGGTATTGTACTGTTTTTGGTCGTACATTTTCCCCTCCCAGTATTATTGCATCTGAGTTTTTGCTCTGTACCATCAAGTCTTAGTTTTCATGTTTGTTGCTAATTACTGTAATTGTGGTAAGTGAATGCCTCAATACTATGTAAATCCGAACAATGATCTCACAGGCAAGAGAAAGGAAATGCATTGGCTCGATGAATGATTTAATTTGTATATATTGATAGTACAAGAAGACTTTACACTACCAGTAAATTTTAACCAGTTATAACATTTTATTTACTTCATTCCTTAGATTACCAAATTAAAATTACTACAGTTTATACTACTCACCTATTGTTTAAGTCATCAAGTTATGATGGCTTACAGAAGTTAAATTCACAATAATTTTGTAAACAAAGGTGTAATTCCCACAAAACGCAGCAGAAAAAGAAATTAAGTTGAAGTCACCTTTACACGTAATTATAACATGAATAGTACCAACATGACTTAGAGAGCTGCATCTTCAACAAATTATATCAACACAACAGATAATTGGTATACAACTTTCCACAAAGAGACATGATCAACAAGTTCACGCTCCTTGGTCTCGAGTAGAAAGAGCAGAACGCTTACTGCTGATAAGATGATTGGTACACAACTTATCAACAAGTTCAGATCAACAAATAATTGGTATACAACTTATCAAAATCTTCAGACTTTGTCGCACTAGAATTTGCATTCGAGCCGGAAGATGAATCGGATGTTTTCATTTCAGTTAATGATATAGTTTCTCGAGGATGAAGAAGGTGATTTCTCATTTCATGCCCCCGCAAAATTGAGGACGCATTAAGCTTTTCAGCCCTTATGTACTGTGGCGATGTATGAAGAACAATACTTGTTTCATCTGTAAAAAATTAGTGTTTAATCTGTAGCACCTTTTTTTTGAGAAGGTACCATTAATCTACAGCTCTTTCTCCCTAAGTTACTCGGACTCGGGTGCGGGCATCCGATACGGGCACGGATCCGAGTGTTGGATTCGAAAAAATCTAAATTTTAAGATTCGGGGGTGCGGATCCGGATGTGGGGATTTGGCTAAAAAATTCAAAATTATAAAAAAATAGAGCTATAAAGAGAAAAAGAAAGCCATTCAAAGTCTTCCACCAACTCTCCATCTATATCGCTGCTACTGCCTACCAAAAGTCCGAACTCAGAATACGACCCCTTGAATTCTTGGTTTTTCTGAAACACAAAGCAACAAATATGTTAGATAGTTATGTGTAAATAGTCCTAGTCCCATATGTAGTAGGAGTAAAATATGTCATTGTATCATTGATAATAGTAGATTTTTCTCCCATGCATTCTCACATGGTATCAGAGCTTCAGTGAGAAAATTATCGTTGTGCATCATTACAACGACATCCGGGAAGAAAGATCTCATCGCCGTGCAATTTTCCGGCAACTTTGTCTTGTTTCCGGGGTTCATCATTGCAACAGTGGTACTGCGCATATACCAGTACCACCACCAAATCCGAAACCCTAGTGCGACCAAACCCTAGAAATTGCAGTTCCATCGAAATAGAAAAGTCAGTCACCGTGCGTCTTTCCGGTTGACGACTCAAGAGTGATTTGCGTTATCTCCTCATCGGTAAGTGTTGTGCGGAAACCAATACTACCATCTTATTCGGAAAAGTAGGGTGACAAAACCCCAGTCAATTGCTCCGGCAGAAAGTCCCTCACGCGCCGCCAGAACTAGGGTTCCGACAAGCTACAATAACTTTTCCGGCATGTGTGAGCCATTCCAGCCACTTTCTGGCAAAACTTCTTAAGGACAACTTACTCGTCCAGTGATTCCGAGCCTACCCATATAGATTACATCAAATTCTGACAACTTTTATTTTTTCCGGCGTGAACAGTAATTTCCAGAAAAGTTTTTCCTGGTGGTGTTTTAGAACCTATTTTGTAATTTTTCCGGCGGCCTTTCAGCCAACTTCTGCTTATCAGCAACCACTTGGTTTTGTTATCAGGGGGAGTCTAGCAGCCTTGTATGTCGAATGATCAGCTTGCAAATATTTTCACAAAGTCACTCATTGGTCCTCGTATTAATTACATATGTAACAAGCTCGGTACATATGATTTGTATGCACCGGCTTGAGGGGGAGTGTTAGATAGTTATGTGTAAATAGTCCTCGTCCCATATGTAGTAGGAGTAAAATATGTCCTAGTCCCATAAGTTGTACGAGTGGAATAAGTCCTAGTCCCATAAGTAGTACGAGTGGAATAAGTCTTAGTCCCATATGTAGTAGGAGTAGAATATGTATTATATATAGGGCTTATTGTATCATTGTTAATAGTACATTTTTCTACCATGCATTCTCACAAAATATAAGACAAAAGTACTACAATATTGAAGGTACGCCATTTCCCATGTCTTAAATCTGTTTTATTTTTAATTTTGCGAAATCAAAATCTCAAGTTCCCCCCAAATTTTTCGATGGCCTCCGGTCAAAGTATCCAAAGTTAGTTGACCGAATCCGGGACATATCCCGCTCCCGTCCCATGTCGAGACGGGTGCGGCACCAAAAACGAAGAGTCCGTGCAACTTAGCTTTCTCCTAAACAATAATGTATCATCAGCGAGCCAAACTATATAGTTCCAATAATCCTAGACAAAAAAAAAAGCAAGATACGCGAGGAGTTAAATGTGATCGAGTCAATCATTTGTTCTTAGTTGCTCACGGACTTCACATTTTAAACAATTCATATTCATATGGAGTTGCACGCGTTAAGGAAGTATCACTGTCTTCTTGAAACTATACAAGAAGGGAACATGAGTGCATAACATACTATAGAGAGAGATTGAATTCTCCACACCCTTTATTTAAAACAAACTTCAGGTGTCAATCAATCAACCAATCAAGAATTCTTCAATCACAAACTAATTGAAGATGCTAATTTGAATTCTCTGTATCCATTCCACTCTCCTAATAAATTCAGAGGATTCGTCACATGCTGAGAATCCTAATTTTTTATCCGGACCTGGGGGCTGGGACATACTATGCTTTTCATATAGACAGAGTTAAACAAACTTCAAGAGTGAAAAAGAATGAAAAGAAAGAAGAGAAAAAATGATTTTTCTATAACAAAATTAGAACAACAAGAAGTTGTACAGCAAACCACTTATCTTCACCAATAGGAAGCACAACAGTACCCATGGAGAAGACCGGACTGGATTTGTAACTTTCAGTTTCTGAAATCTTCCTCGCACTAGAATTTGCGTTCGAGACTATAGGGGTACAAGATGGTGTCATTTCAGCTGATGGCATAGTTTCTCTAGGCAAATGGCACAATGATTTCACTGAAGACTTCTCATTTAAAGTGAGCTCTTGCACGTCCGCAAAATTGGAGATGCATTAACTTTTCAGCACCTATGGATTGTGGAGAGGTATGTTCAGATTGAGCCATCTCCTCTTCATCTGTAAAGGCATGAATACTTAGTTGCATCAGAACCAGCAATAATAAGCCAATCACATTAGTCGGAATGAGTATATAGTGAAAACAATACGACAGACCTCAGGCCTGTAACCGTCAATGCAGCAGTTAAGAAAGAAGAATACGCGGGCATGTCATTTAGTCAACTAAAATATGACAAGATTTTCAAATCCAAGACATCTGTGACATTTCTTGTAATTTAGAACTGCTAGAACTCCTCAAAAGATGCAGTAACTTTTTCAGCACCAATGGACTGTTTTGGAGATTTAGTTGCCTGAAACTGGAAAAGACGTCAAAAGAATGTAGAGAAGTAAAGAAAGGCATTAGCTATTAGCTATATCCATTTGGCTCGAGATGTCAAAAGAAAGTAAGAAAGTAAAGAAGGGCATTAGATATTAGCTTACATTTTGTTAAAGCTATACTGGGTTGTGTTGTTGTTGTTGTTTTGTTAAAGCTATATAAGCGACCTTGGCAGCATTTCTTCTGCCTATTTCTTGGACTTTGCAGCATCCACATGAAAAACTTCTCCTTCAATTTCTACACTTGAGTAGGAAGAATGAATTTGGAAAAAGGTGATAAATGCTTCTTGATTTTCTAAAACGTCAAACAGTTTAGAAAAAATTTCAATTTGTCAAAACAACAAATAGTATAAACCAGATACAGTACAGATATACAAGACAGGTTGACTACCTAGACGATGAGTGTTTTACCTCTTGCAAGGAAACTGTTGCCAGTGTCATTAATGCAAGATGTGCAACAGAATCTTCTGCTTCCTCTGCAGTCCAATATGCTCCAGGAGGACCATTGAACAATTCACCAGCCACTGCTCAGAGCAGTGAGAGCACGGCTTAACTTCAGTATACTTGCGAGTCTTGAGGCCACAATCAGGGTTAAACCATAGTATATTGGTATCCTGCAAGCATCTTCTCGATTCTGTCAGCAATTTCATTGGTGGATGGAATCCAGGATGTCGTAAATCCAGGATGAATGCCAGAACCATAATTCACTCTCTCGCATAACACGAAAATTAGCTTCTCAGCTGATCTGGAGTTCTCAATGGCGTCACGTCAGCTCTATTGTCACAATTATGATTGATGTAATCAAGACCTTAGAAACTATCAAGAATAATGTTTCTATAGCAAATTCTAAGTTACAGGAAATTGTTATTGATATTCAAAAAGTCAGAAAATAATAATACCTGAAGATAACTAAATACCACTGAAAATAATAATCCTAGACTTATAATGTGCACACATAAGGAAACTCATGTTACTTCTCATATTAAGATTGCAATAAAATATGATCCAGAACAAAAAGCAGAGCAGCAAAAGAATTAAAAATCAGAACAGGTGTACCTCTTAAATAAGCTAGCTTGGAAAGCTTAAGCAATGTTCTAATTGTCGTGCTTTCACCTTCTGACACTCCATTGGATGCGATTTCTTTGGCAAAGGTAAAAGGAAATTACATCATATTGATAACAAGTGAAATAAATCTTTACTTCTAACTTCCCGAGTGAAACTGTGGTATCATGTTAAGCAAAAAAGGATCCTTTGCTAAAACGTCTATTAGTAACTCTACTGTTCTTGCATCAAACGAGAAGTCCCTTCCACTCATTTCCTTCAAAAAAGTGTTCATTTCACTAATTTTGTCAAACTTGAGAAATCCTTGCACAATAACATTGTAAGTGCAGTTGTTTGGCGAACAACCATTGTGCTCCATTTTTCTTAGCATATATTTAGCTTCATCCAACAACCCTTCTAGACATAGTCCATTTATTATAGTAGTGTATGTAATCACATCGGGAAACAATCCAATCAAAGGAAGCTTCTCAAAAATAGCACGAGCTTTGTCGAGCTGACCATTTTTGCACAATCCATCAATAATAACAGTGTAAAGTTCAATATCAGTATCTTCTCTCTTTCTTTCCAACTCATAAAATAGAGACATAGCTTTTTCAACAAGTCCATTCTGAAAATAACCACGGAGCAAAATGCGATTAGTGCATAAATCAGGTATAAGCCCCACAGAAAGCATATCAGCAAAGAATTTTTCCACAATGTTAGCTCTTCCAGCATCAAATAGACCTTTCAAGATAGTACTGCAGGTAACAATGCTAAGTTTCAATCCATTTCGAGAAATATCATGAAACAAATGCATGGCCTCATCTAATTTCTTTTTCTTACAGTATCCATTTATTAATATGGTATAGCTAATAATGGTAGGCTCAATGCTCTTATCTATCATGGAATCGAAAAGTCTCCTTGCTCTATCCATTTGACCGCGCAAGCAATATCCATCAATTATCACATTGTAGGTGACCACATTAGGCTCTACACCTTTTGCGATCATGTGTCTCATTACCTCCTCAGCATCTTCAACTTTCCCTTCTTTGCATAATCCATCTGTCACTATGGTCAAGGTGCAAACATCTGGATAAATATTAAGGTTTACCATTTCAGAGAACAAAGTTCTAACCTTTTCCCACTGACCAAACTTACAGAGACCATCAATCAATGAATTATATGTGACAATGTCCGGAGGAATGCCCATTTCTTTCATCTCTTCAAAAAGGCTAATTGCAGCATCTAACATTCTATCTTTGCAAAGGGCATCTATAACAATGTTATAGATGTATGCGTTGGGCTTAATGCTTCCTTGTTCCATTACTCGTAGCAAACCTAAAGCTTTTTGAGTATGGCCCCTTTTGCTAAGCCCATTCATGACAATCGAATACATGAATACGTTAGGCTCACAAATATCCTGTCTCACCAACTTTTTGAACAAGTTAACTGCGTCTTTGATCTTATTTTCAGCAAAGAGTCCCCTTAATAAGGTGTTAAAGGTGACAACATCAAATGGAATGCCACTCTTCAAGTAAATGGCTAACATTGAAAATCCGCAGTCAGAACGATGCATTAGGCAATAATTGTTGATCACTATATTCAAGATGAAATTATTAATTGGGATGTTCAATTTCAGCATTTCTCGAACAAGTGAAAGAACAGCAGAGTAATGCTTCATATTTACCATAGTCTTTAATAATTTCGCCAAGCAAGAAACAGAAGGAAGAGGCTGCGTTCTTACCATTCGATGGAAGAGAGTCAGAGCATCATCTGAACACTTGACGTTCTCAAAACTGAATGTATTGCTATTATATGAAGAATAAAATCTGATTGCAATTGCCGAAGAAGAAGGTGAAAAAGAGATAAAGGGAATAATACCATTGGAAGAGTAACGAAGCAGAGAGATTCTCGTCATCTGATTATTGTTTGCTATCTCTGTATGCCCTAATTTTTTTCCAGAAAACTTGTTCGTGATACTAATGACTAATGAGTACTATTTGGATCATCTTTTTCAGGCTAAATTTATAAAAATAAAAATTCTCGACTGTAACTCTATTATTTAGGCTGATTTTTTCTTATTTAGCTAAAAGAAATGGATTTTCGGCCAATTCGTTTGACAGATTTGCACATCTATATTAATTTGGATAAAAAAATTAATGGGCTTAGAATACCGAACCTAGCAACTTATTTTATTAGAAATTTGACCCCCCACCCAAAGAAAAAGCACAATTTTAATAAATAGCCACTACATCTAGAGAAAAATTATTAAAAATACACAATTGAACTCCACGTTTTTTGCTAAAATAAAGTTTTTCAGCTAAATATAATGAGTTCTAGCCAAAAAGAATTTTATGTAAATTAGGCTCGAAAAGAAGAAATATACAAATGGAAAAAATAGTCATAGCATCTAAAGATGATGGAAGGAAATACGTAGATGGTAAAACTTTTTTATTTTGGCTAAAAAATAGAGTTCAACCATATTTTTTTTAGGAATTTTTACATTCCTATACCACATACGAAACCTTTTTACCCTCTATGTTTAAGATTTGACTTAATTACACTTAGTATACCAAATTACCATTTCTATACCATAATTAATTAAGGTTATAATTAATGAGATATTTTTTACTCTTTAATTAAAGGGTTTCCGTTTAATTCCACTTCTCCCGCACTTTCTCTCTTCTAATCCCTCAGCCCCGTACCCCACGTTCTTTTTACCCATACCCACGTTGTTTTTATCATTTTCATCTTTTGAAACCACCCAATCTCCCTCTAAAATCACAGAAATTTGAAGAAACCCTTCAAACAAATTTGTTCCCCATTTTGCTCTAGTTGAAGTTAAACAATGAAGAACACCAAAGCTTCGAAAAAGAGTCCTAAAAAATCAGCAGTAGCTGATATACCCTCCTTTGATTTGCGTGTTTTATCCCCAAAATCACCCAAAAAGCAAAGCAAATCTCCACATGCAATTGTAGAGACTACTCATAGTTCCTCTCCCCGACAAATCAGAGCCGAGATGAAAACCAAACAAAAACACGATGTAGATGCCGGAGAAACTTCTAAACCAGTCAAACAAGTCAAACGAAAAGGAAAAGAGATTTCTGTAGATAATGACTTTGTAGAAGAGGCCCCTAATCTTCTATCGGGAAAGAAAGCAAAGGTCTCTCCTGTTTCGAAAAATTTAAATATGAAGAAACATTAAAAAAAACACCCTAAAATTGTTCGGAACCAATCATTTGCGAAGGCAAACATTTATTAGTTTCGTTTCTAATTTTTTTTGTTTGGTTTAGGATGGTAAAATCTGTGTTTTAGACAAGTATAGATTAATTGTATTAATTTTGTAGATTATTTGTAGTTGTGATGTTCTGCCTTTATAGTGTTTTAGACAAGTGTAGATTAATTGTAGTTTTTTTATAGTTATAATGTTAGGTAATTTGTACTATTTGAAGCAGAATTGTAGTTATATTTCGTTGCTTTGTTTTTTGTAGAAAATGCTTTAAATTGTATATATTATGTAATAATTTGTAGGTATGTTGTTAAATCTATGTTCTACGTAATTTAGACAAATGTAGATTAATTGTCTTAATTTTGAAGATTATTTGTAGTTGTGATGTTCTGCTTTTATATTTTAAGATATTTTGTAGTTTTTTTGTAGTTATATTATTAGGTAACTTGTACTATTTGAAGAAGAATTGTAATTATCTTTTGTTGCTGCCTTTTTGTAGAAAATGTTTTGAATTGTAGATATTATGTAAGTATTTGTAGTTATGTTGTAGATAAGATGTAGATGAATTTATCCTTTTTATGCATTTTATTAATGTGAATTAATTTATTATTTGTGCAGAATGGACAGTTTTTTGCCCCACATAATGTTGATTATGGGGTGCTTAGATTCCACACTTTGTGTGATCCTAGCATTCCTAGCAAGATTAACGATCTTCTATCCTCAAATGGTTTGAATCTTTTCAAAAAGACGTGTTTTGGATACTTACTGTCTCTTCCCACCATATGCATGCAAAAGCAAGACATTCATCTTCTGATGAAGTATGAATTAAAAAAATCCAATGAATCATATTTTTCTGTACAGTTAAAGGGTGAAACATTAAATTTTGGATTGCGTGAGTTTGTATTAATTACTGGTCTAAGATGTGTTACCTAGATTACTGATTTTGGTTATACTCCCACTTATGTTAGCAAAATTATGAACAGTTATTTTCCTAACAAATTAAGAGTGGAGAAGTCTTATTTGAAACAGATAGTAACCACTAGATCTTGGGTAAACGATGAGGATGCGGTGAAGTTGTGCATCCTTTATCTTTTAGAATTTTTCATTTGTCCTTCGGACAAAGATCGTATTTCTTTTGTAGATCACTTTAGGTTTTATTTGGTAGAATCTGGGCAGTATGAGTCATACCCATGGGGTATTAAATCTTTCACCCAGATGATGGAATCTGTTAGGCACAGACTAAATTCGTATGTACATTCTTATCTCATACGGGGATGCTCACTAGCATTGCAAGTATGGCTTTATGAGTGTTGCTCTACTGTTAGCACTGATCTAGCTACGAGGTGTTCTAACTCAATACCTCGCATACTAAGATGGTCAGCTACTGAGAGGCAAATTTGGTTAGCTGCCTTTGAAGAGGAGATGATAAAGCCTGAGTGGATAAAGGTATAGTTTCTTTTATTACGATTATGCTTTTATCTTCAACATATCTACAATGTATTCTACATTTTCTACCTTGATCAAACTAATTTATTTTTCGTCTTTCAGTTTACCAATATAGTTGAATCTGGAGAAGAGATTGCAGTGCTGATTTTGCCCGACAAAATTGAGTACAAAGTTAAAGAAGGTGAACAAATATCTGAGGTTCCCAATGCTGATCCTCCTACGTTGGAACCCAAACAAACAGATGGAGAAGAGGACAAGGAGTATATTGCTGAGAAGATCAGTAAATTAGAAAAAGAAATTGAGCAGGTAATACATATAAACTACAATATATATACATTTTATCTACAATATATCTACATTCCATAAACTGTCTACCAAATATCTACAAATTTGTAAATTCTGATATATATCTTTATATAATTGCATATATTTTTGCATTGTATGTTAGGACATATTATGAAGTTAACAACTTACTATATTGTAACTTGTAGGTTGATAGAAAGCTTGAAGATTTTAGGAAAGTTGTCTTTGTAGAACTCGATAGCCTTCGAGTGTTTATAAATGATTTTGTGCAGTCTGTCTTGCAAATGATAAACATTAGAAATGTGCAAGATGATGCAAAGGTAAGATCTGCCTTTTATTTTTATAGCAGTTATATTTTAGACAATGAAAAACTATATAACAACTAACATAAAACATTCAGTTTGCTGGCAGCTCAACAAAAAATAATGACCAACAAAAAGACCTGAACAATTAACATTTTCAGTTCAATATTGGGGAAGAAGTGCAGGAAAGCACCAGCAAAAGAGGTAACTACAAAATACCTACAAAATATCTACATATTGTGACAGTATATAATTAACATATCTACACTTATCCACAAAATATCTACAATTTGTTGGCACACATATGCTACACCTTTCAAGCCACAATTATCCAGTATTATTTACCATTTTGAATTATAAAATAGAACATGTTGAAGGTGCAGTTGGTCAAGAAAATCTTCCAGCACATGGTGATTTATATACACATTTTCAAGTTGCAGCTGATGAAGACAAAGCAGGTATCATATTGTTACTCAGAGATATTTGCTTGTTATTTATAAATATTAAAATTCTTGTTAAAATTGATATGAATTGTGTTACAGTTACGGAAGATATCAATGCACAATCCCCAATTCACAGAGTGACATTAGCAGCTCAGTCAGAACAGGTCATTGAGGAACATGACAATGAAGGTGCAGATGCACAGTATGTGAATCTAGGTGATTCAGAAGGATTAGGAGTTGAGAAGAATGGGGTCACACTAGATGATTTTGAGTTGCCCGACAACTTATCCCAGTTGGTTATGTTTGGCGATCCCATACAAGATGATGCAACACCTATGCATCCGGGAAGAACAAGGCAGTCGGGAAAGCATGCCCGATTACCATTTATCCCTCTATACAGTTCTGGGGACAGCAGCTCAGTTGGACCTAAAATTTTCTACCTCAAGCGCCTTTTACTACTGTTATTCGTGAAAATGTAGATCTGGATGTTTTAGAAAACTTCAACAAGTAGTTATACCAGTCTAGCAACAAAGGTTCAAAGAGGTATGAACGCATAATTTGACACTTTCATTTCAGCATTTATCTTTTACATATCTAATTCAATCTACAATTTTTTGTTGACATTTATTTGTTGTTACAGGAGGAAGGCTCCGTTTTCCATAAAAGATAACCAAATTAAGCCTTGGTTAGACCTTGGAGTAAAAAAGGTTGATAAGAAGGAATGGTTCTATTCCCTGGCTCACCCCGGACAAGTCCTCAATGACTCAGTAAGTATCATGGAGTCTATTCCCAAGATATGATTTGTAGATATTTTGTCTTCTGTTTTGTAGATAATATATGAAGATGACTTGTAGTATAAAGTGTAGATATAATGTAGACATGATTGTATATGTTGTCTTTCTTGTATGTAGTGTAATTAATTTTTAGGTTTCATGTTATGTATCATATTTGAAGATTATTTATAGTATAAATTCTATATGTATTTTGTGGACATAATGGTTTTATTGCTGTATTTACTGTTTGTAGTGTAATTGTAGTTATTTTGTAGATTATGTTGAATATTACATATAGAATTGTAGTCTAAAATGTAGATATAATGTAGACATTATTGTAGCTGCTGTGTTAGGTGTTTGCCCAGCAACTGTAGGTAAATTGTAGTTATTTTTAGATTAGGTACTTAAACTGTAGGTAAATTATATATTTACTGTAGGTAAATTGTAGGTAAATTTATTTAAATTGTAGAGTTGTTTTTAGACATAATTGTAGATATTTTTTGTTTCTCTTTTTGTAGTTAATTGTAGTCATAATGTAGGTTTCATGTAGATTATTTGAAATTGAGTTGCTGCTTATATGCCAACTATTTTTTGGGTGCAGCACATTAATGTAATAATGTATTACTTGAGAAAAAGAGGCAAGTATGGCCCAATAACAAGACCAGGTTTACCACAACTGATCGTGTGTTCAAGACCAGGATAGAACAAATTTATGAAAAGTTCATAAATTCACCTCCACAAGAGAAGTATTCGGTTGTTAAACCCCAAGATGTTGCAGAATATATTTTGGGCTATAGACTACTTGCCAATGTTGCATGGGATGAAGTTGACTATGTCATCATGCCTGTCAATATTTAAAAAAAAAATTCATTGGGTGTTGGTCATTTTCGACATTGCAGACATGCAACTTTATGCGTATGATTCCATGGTCTCTTCACACAACCATCATGTTGTTGAATCCTGTGTCGAAAATTTTTCTGTTATTATCCCTTTGTATTTGTCATGCACTGGTTTCTATGGGAAGCGTAAGGACATTAACTTCATGAATACAAAGGCATACATCGGGAAACCTGTTACCGACCCTCTTAACATCCAGTGGATGGTTGCAGAGATTCCACAGCAAAAAGAAGGGTCACTGTAAAGATCTATTCTATCTTTCTATGCATTTAATTCTTTTTTTATTTCTAATTATTTGGTAAATATTTAAAAAAAAAAATTGTTTCTGCAGCGATTGTGGTGTATTTGTTGCTGCATTTGCTGAGTATGTTAGCCTTGGAGATTTGTCAATTCCCGCAGAAGATCTTTCTGATATTGACCAACATCGTAGACGCTATGGAGCGCTCCCATGGGACTATGCTACAAAGAAGCAGGAAGATGGGTCAATCAGTGAAAGTGAGGTTACAGACAGACTAGCAAGGAGGAAGGGTGCACCTGCATTGAATGAGAAAATAAGAGTCCAGAGAAAGAAGAAGTAGTGTCATGTCTATGTAATTTAGTTGATGCTAGTTTGTAGGAGAAGTATAGTACACAACTTTCTGAACATTTCTTTTGTGTTTTTATTATAGCAGACCTTTTGTTTTGTTAATTTCTATCCAGTTTAGTAGTTCACTTGAAAATAACTTGGTGGTTTCATCTCCGGTTGTTTAATATTTACAGCACTTGTTCTTCATTATCTTAAAAGTAGTTATTATGTTGTTAGAATACAATTTAACTACAAAAAACTTCAAACTATCTATAATCTGGAAACACTGAATGTTGAGATTGTAGATAATTTTATAGCTGAATATGTATATAATTTGTAGGGAATACCTCCAGTTGTATTTACTTTCTGTATATAACTGTCAGTTCAAGTTACATTAATTTTTTTTAAATTATAGTTATATTGTAGATAATAAATATTAATTGCTATGTACAGAATGTAAAAAATGGAGGTAGATGATTGAAACAATAAAGAAGCACATTTTAACAAACACAGAAACAAATTGAAGTTAACTACATTATGATCTTTCAAAACTTAAAGGATTACACACATAATTCTGTTAACTTGAACACACTAACAATTATTTTGAAATACTATTCTAACTACATGATATTTATTTCTTTTTGGGTGCATTCTTGCAAGATCCTTTGTTATGCCATTCACCTCCACAGTTGCCACATGACACCTTGTACTTCTTTGACTTTAGTTCATCATATGTTTTATATCTTTCCTTTTGAGGTCTTCCTGACTGCTTTTTCTCTCCCGTAGGTGGTTTTACTACTTCATCAGATATATGTTGTGGCACATTTCATTTGCTTTCATCAGGAAGGGGATTTACTGGTATTTCATATGTACGCAGCTCTGATGGTAAGCAATCCCCACTTCCAACCAAGAGGTTGTGAGTTCGAGTCTCCCCAAGAGCAAGGTGGGAAGTTCTTGGAGGGAAGGATGCCGGAGGTCTATTTGGAAACAGCCTCTCTACCCCAGGGTAGGGGTAAGGTCTGCGTACCCACTATTCTCCCCAGACCCCACTAAGTGGGATTCATACTGGGTTGTTGTTTGCATATGTACGCAGCAGGCTCTCCCTTGTGTAATACGGAGAGCAGTAGTTTTCATAAGTTTCATTCCTGTGCCTTAAAGCTGCCAAAGCATGCGGACATGGAAGTTCATCAAGTTGGAACTGGCCACAACTACATTTCTTGCTTTCAAGACACACAATGTACCGCTTCACACCATCTATCACAGTATGAATATGATCCGTTAAATCCCTCACCTACAATTACATAACAAACAGAAAGAAAAATATTTACAATCATAAAAATAGATTATCTACGATTTATCTACAAGATATCTACAATTATATCTACAAATTATCTACAATCTACAAATTAACTACAATTTGTCTATAATTTATCTACAATCTGGAAATAATGTGTAATAACTAATTATTTTTCTGCACCAAATAAACAGATCTTACCCTAAGTTTCTGAGATAATGTACTGTTTTTCTTCAATTCTTTGTTGAATTTGTACCCAAGGTATATGAAAGTACCCTTTGCCTTCAATAACTTCTCTTTCGTCCAACGTTCAGGAAGTGTCCTCATATACTCTAATAGTCAAATATTGGCAGCTCTCTTGCCTCTTTTGTTACAGCATTCAACGACTCGGCAATGTTTGATGTCATAGTCCAAGTTCTATTCACCATTGCATGTACTCTTGATCATCTATGATAGCCAATATCATAGAGGTATGATTTAACACGTGGGTCTATCTCTTCAATCTTCGACATCCTTTCATTAAATTCATTGAGAGTGTATGACCCTGATGTAGCAAAGTACAATTCATTTAATTGTAGATGACCCTTCTTGAACTTTGCCCTTATATTTGTCCAAATATGCCACACGCAAGAATAGTGTGGCACGCCCGGATAGACAATTGATGTTGCCTTCAGGATACTCTCATTCCTATCTGAAACAACACACATTGAAGTTCTTTCACCATATGCTTCCTTGAATTGCTCAAAAAACCACTTTCACGATGCGTTGTTTTCCGAATCAACCACAGAATATGCCAAAGGCAATATTGTACCTACATTATTAGTAAAAAAATAATTAACTGGCAGCTTTGGAAATGCATATAAAAACACGAATACATATAAACTACAATATATCTAAGAGTACTTACAATGTATCTACAATTTATAAACTGCCTACAAAATAACTACAATTTTACCTGTTACATCCATTGTGCTTGCTGTCAGAATAATCCCCATGTAGGCTGTCTTTAAGAATGTCCCATCAACCACTACTACTGGTCTACAATATTTCCAACCACTTATTGATGTAGAAAGAGCAACAAATGCATATAAGAAGCATTCATCTGTTGTCTTCTTCAATTTAACAACTGAACCAGGATACGTCTTCTCAAGAATATAAAAATATTTTGGTAATTTGTTGTAGGATCAGCCAGATGACCTCTCAATAACTGTAAAGCCTTTTCCTTTGCCCTCAATGCTTGCATGTAGCTTAAGTTCACTCCGTGTTGTGACAACATGTCAGTTTGTATGTCCTTTGGTGTGTAAACTGTCTTAGGATCACAATACTTTGGCATGACCATGCTACCAACTACAACTGCAGCTCGTTTGCGCTGTATGAATGTATCGTCCATTAAGCTGCATGTGTGTTGTCGGTTGAAACTCCTGATCTTGAACATTGCAGAATTATTAATTGATGTTGCCTTGAAGTGCCAATTACAGTTTTCTGCAACGCATATAAGCAGGAGCTACAAAAAATACATTTATAATACAGGTTATCAAGCAATTGATTCATTCAAGCAATTGATTCATTCAAGCAAGCTTCATCTACATATCACAAGGAAAATACTGTTTATAATGATCTTTTCACCATTAATATCTTCATACCTTCTGTTGCTAGATCTTTTAACCCTGAATTGGAACTTGTGCATGACAGAAGAGTTCCTCATTGCAGTTGCAATTGTTTGTTTGTCTTGATATACTTGTCCTTCTTCGATAACACTTTGTGTACCTTCAGTTATAATTTTACTTTTATATTCCTCTATGATGGGAGAGGCTGGCATATCAAGTAACTGTATTGTCCCAGACGAACCTGCATGAAAATAAAGATAAATAGTTTCATTACAATTTTGTAGAATCTTTGTAGACAAATTGTAGATGAATAGAAAATTTTGTAGTCAACTTTTTTTTCAACATGGATTGTAGCTTAATTGTATTATAAATGTAGTAATTTTGTTGATAAGCATCAAAACAATATTGCTTTATAGATCATAAAACTGATTTGTAGTTTATTTGTAGATAAATGTAGGAATTTTGTAGATATTATCGTAAAACCAGACTTTCATAGAATTTGAAACATAACAAACCTGCACTTGTGTTCTCATTTGTAATAGCCAATTCCATATTGAAATCTCGTACACTTATGAGTAACGGATACGATCCTAAGTTTTTATTCTCCTTTTTTGTCTCCATATACACACTTATCCCCATATTGTTCCTAATCTCCATTGGAGGACAATTCTCATTCACAATATATTTGATTTCTACAATTTTTTCCGAAGTATCAATCATTAATTGCTCTGCAATTGTAGAAATCAACATACTGTAACTTGCATCCTCATCGAGTACAATGCCATCAACTTGAAAATCTCTAAATCTGCCATAGCTATCCCAATTGCCATTAAAATGTAGCATGATTGGGATTTTGGACATGATTGCGTGTCGTCGCTGATGAATTGCTAAATTTTTGGTCGCTTTTTTTATATTTTGGATTAAGAAAAAAAAAGAAGAACAGAGATTTGCAGAACGACGAATTGAGATTTTGAATTGTAGCGATTCTGAGAATATCGAAGAACAGAATTTGATTAAAAATTGAAGATAAAGGATTTCCGTGATATGCTTTGATCTGATTTACGCTAAATCTTTATAGAATATTCTGTTCCTAAATTTAAGCTCGACAAATTAGGAAGATTCAACTACAATTAATGAGCGTTTAATGATTGGTACAATAAATGTAGACAAAATATGGACAGGGCGGGTAACATACAAACTGTGCACATTTTTGGTAATAAGGTTTCATATATGGTATACTGAAAGAAAAAATCTCTTTTTTTTAAACATATTTAGCCCGAAAACGAAGAAATATACCGTTGAAACAAATAATTATTGGATCTACAAAAAAATACAAAGCTAAGACAAATATGCACTTTATTTAGATGAAACAAGAAGAAATACTAATTTGGAGCAAATAAATTATTTCATATGACTACGTGAAAATATGAAAATACCCCATTTAGAAGCTGATTTTTTGTTATTTTTTAGTCTCACCTGCCTAAAAGAATATATATAGGACAAAGTAGGCTTATGGGCAAGTCCCATCATGGTGCAATGGTGTGGGGCGTCATAGATTGTTACCTCGTGGCCAACTCGAAGGGGCTGAAGTTCGACGCAAAGCTTTTTGGTTGTTAAGTTATAGCAGGACTGAGCAACACCCAACAACAGCGTAAGTCCTTCTGGTTTGCATTAAAGTGGCTTAAGTAGCCCTCAAGGAGTTCGTTTATTCTCTACGTCTGAGTTTTCAAAGATATGACGACCTACGACATCTAATGGATCCCCGTTGGCAACAACCACGGTAGTTGCGGAACTACTGGGTCGGGAGAGGACAACCTCTTGTTCCCGCTCCTCTTCTTCGCTTCAGGGACGGAGGTCCTACAGTAAGTAACAGTAAGCATAAGCAAGTTGACTGAAGGGGACCAGCACATCTACTCCTCCACCGAAGTGCCGTTCTAACATATAAATGAAGGTGTCCGCTATATAAATTCTCACTATCTATGTCGTTCATATGAGTTCATTCCAAATCTTAATATATGTCTTCAAGTTTTGTACAAACTATATATTTCCTCTGTTCCATTTCATATAGCAAACTTTCCTTTAGTATGTTCAAATAGCAATACATATACATACGGGATGCGTCTCCAACACCCGATGTAAAATTTTTCTACAAAGTATATAGTACTCATCTGTTCCATTTAATATAATACTCTTTCCTTTACTATGTTTAAAAAAGAATGACACCTTTCAATAATTGGAAACTTGTTATCGGTTAAACTTTACGTGCCATAGAGAGAGACAAAGAGAGTGTGTGTAAGGGGGCAGTAAAAGAAAAAGAGAATACCCTGATACGTCCATAATAATACCACTTAACTTCCACAAACACTTTAATGTTCCACAAACAAAAATATAAAAATACTTCAAACAGATAGCTATAATTATTCTTGATTTGTTTTAGCCTCTGCGTTTTAGACACGATAACGTAAGTAACATGCCTCTACTGTAATACATTATCAGCTATACTTCTCATTGGGGAACTCCAAGCTGCACCTATATCTGGATTTGTACACTCATGACCTTGTTACAAAGGAGGTAACTTTTGGTTTCTGCAATCTTCCTCGCGCTAGAATTTGCATTCGAGACTGTAGAGATAGAAGATGGTGTCATTGCAACTGATGGTATAGTTTCTCTAGGCAAATCGCACAATGATTTCACTGAAGAAGACTTTCTCATTTAAAGCGAGCTCTTGCACGTCCCGCTAAATTGGAGATGCATTACCTTTTCAGCACCGACGGACCGTGGAGAGCAATGTTCAGATTGAGCCATCTCCTCTTCATCTGCAAAGACATGAATACCTAGTTGCATCAAAACCAGTAATAATAAGCCAATCACATTAGTCGGAATGAGTACATAGTGAGAACAATAAGACGGACCTCTGAATGTTTCTTGACCACTAGAAATGGACCGTGCATCCTGCAACCTTCAGTAAGCAGAGCAGAAGTAACTGATACCAAAATTAGATTTTGGTTAAAGAGAAGTGAAATAAGACAAGTTTTAGACGTAGAGAGTATCACCTTATATACATTTCAATTTCTATTGATAAATTTATGGGCATATGATAATACTGCATTCCCTGAATCCATTTGCTATTTCAAAGTAATACTCCCTCGGTTTCATTTTGTTTGTTATAGTTTGACTTGGCATAAAGTTTAATAAAAAAATGTAGACTTTTAAAACTTGTCTTAAACATTACGTAATATTTGTGGCTATAAAAACTTCTCATTAAGTAAATAATGAAATGTGACTAATAAAAAATAGTGCCAAGCAAAGTGGAATGGAGGGAGCTTAATCATCACAAGTGACAATATGTCGATAGAACTTTTCATGACCTACTTTCATGTACACACAAAGATCAACATAATTCATCAGTTATAAATAGCTAAGCAGTTGGTAAATTTGCAGTGTGAACTATAGTTTCAGATGAAAAACAGATGCATTATATTTAACTACTCCATATATACATGTGGTTAAGGGATAAACTGCAATTATTCAAGAAAAATTACAGCTTGACTAAATCCCAAAGGAAAGAAATAGTCTAACTGACACATTCAAATGCAAATAAATTTTTCATTTTCTCATTATTTTTCCAGTCTAAGAAATAGGAGCACCATTTTCTTAACAAGAAAAAGTTAAAGTTTTACCTGTACTTTGTTGTGCTTTCCATCTTTTGTCCCTTAACCTTTTTCACCTTTTTACTGAATGTACGTCACTGAAAATTGCCAGCACTTCCAAAACCCTGCTTATTATGTTGTTACAAAGGAGCTAACTTTTGGTTTCTGCACTATTCGTCGCACTAGAATTTGCATTTGGGATGGTAGATGAATCGGAAGGTGTCATAGCAGCTCATGATCTAGTTTCACTAGGCAAATGTCAAAATGATTTAACTGATGAAAATGACTTCTCATAAGATGAAGTAACCTTTTCCGCACCAGTGGACTGTGGAGATGTATGTTTACTGTTTAGAGTGATCAATCTCCTCTTCATCTGCCAAAGGCATGAATATTTAATTGCATCAGAACCAGTAATGACAGGCCAATCACATTCGTCAGAAGTATTTAAATGAATAAGAAGCAATCTCAATCGTAATGAAACCAAAATCTCAAAAAAAAAAAAAAAAATTAAGTGTACTATATATCAACTGTAAGAGAAAAACCATCTTAAGCTTTTCACCTCACTTGAGGTCAGAAGTATTTAGATGATCCTGCAGATTTTGGCATGCTTCCTCAATTTTGGGTAGTCCACTACATGCTATAGATTTAAGTGAACCACCTAATAATAAGCAGAGAAACATGTAATTTACTATAAAATTGAATACGTGAAACATCTAGTGAATCAATTGCTTGCAGCAAGGTCCGGAACAGAAGGAAAAAGTTTAGAACTAAAGCAATGTTCTTATTACCATATTCTTTCAGCTTTCGCAATTCTGTTGATGTGAGTTCTTTTGCAGAGGTAAAAGGAAATTGCGTCATAGTGATAGGCAAAGCTGAATAAATCAAGTGAAATAAATATCACATCTTATTTTCCAAGGGAAACTGTGGTATCATGTTAAGCAAAGAAGGATTCTTCGCTATAACATCTATTAGTAACTCTACAGTACTTGCATCAAATGAGAAGCCCCTTTCAGTCATTTCCTTCAAAAAAGTTGTCATTTCACTAATTTTGCTAAACTTCATAAATCCTCGCACAATAACATTGTAGGTGCCATTGTTTGGCGAACAACCATTCTCATACATTTTTCTTAGCATATTTTTAGCTTCATCTAACAATCGTTCTAGACAAAACCATTTATAATTGTATTGTATGTTATCACATCGGGAAACAATCCAATTAAGGAAAGCTTCTCAAAAACAGCACGAGCTTTGTCGAGCTGACCATTTTTGCAATCCATTAATTACAACATTGTAAAATTCAATATCAGTATCTTCTCTCTGTATTTCCAACTTATGAAATACCGACATAGCTTTCTCGACAAGTCCATTCTGAAAATAACCACGAAGCAAAATGAGATTAGTGCAAAAATTAGGTTTGAGCCCTGTAGATTGCATCTCAACAAAAACTTTTTGCGCAAAGTCAATTCTTCCAACATCAAATAGACCTTTCAAAATGATACTGTAGGTGAAAATGTCGGATCTCAATCCATTTCGAGAAATTTCATGAAATAAAGCCATGGCCTCATCCAATTTATTGTTCTTACAATATCCATTTATTAATGTGCTATAGCTAACAATGTCAAACTTAATGCTCTTATCTATCATCGAATCAAAAATTCTCCTTGCTCTACCCATTTGGCCGCGCAAGCAATATCCATATATTATCACATTGTAGGTGACTATATTTGGCTCTACAGCTTTTCCAATCATGTGTCTCATTACCTCCTCGGCATCTTTGACTTTTCCCTCTTTGCATAGTCCATCCGTCACTATGGTCAAGGTGCGCACATTTGGATAAATGTTCGAATTTACCATTTCAGAGAGCAAAGTCCTAACCTTTTCCCACTGGCCAAACTTACAGAGACCATCAATCAATGAATTATACGTGACAATGTCCGCAGGAATGCCTTTTTGTTTCATCTCATTCAAAAGATTAATTGCAGCATCCACCATTCTATCTTTGCACAAGGCATGTATAACAATGCTATAGATGTACGCATTGGGCTTAATGTTCCCTTGTTCCATTACCCTAAGCAAATCAAAAGTTTTTTTAGTATGGCCCCTTTTACTAAGCCCATTCATGACGGTCGAATACATGACTTCATTAGGCTCACAAATATTCTCTTTCACCAACTTTTTAAACAAGATAACTGCATCTTTTATCTTATTTTCCACAAAGAGTCCCCTTACTAAGGTACTAAAGCTGACAATATCAAATGAAATTCCACTCTTCAAGTAAATGGCTAACACTGAAAATCCGCAGTCAGAACGATGCATTAGGCAATAACTGTTAATCACAATATTCAAGATGAAACCATTAATTGGGACACCCAATTTCCGCATTTCTTCAAAAAGGGAAACAACAACAAAGTAATGCTTCATATTTACCATAGACTTCAATAATTTCGAGAAGTCGAAAATAGAAAGAAGAGGCTGTGTTCTTACCATTCGGTTGAAGAGACTCACAACATTATCTAAACAGTTGCCCCAAATTTACCCTTTGTCGGAATGGATGTATTGCTATGAGATGAAGAATAATCTCGAATTGAAATTGCCCAACCAATACGTGAAAATGAATCTCGTCATCTTCAATGGCTAAGGAATCTCTCTCAAATTTCCGAAAGGGAACCCTAATTTTAGGATATGGAAAGGTCACATTTTTTTATCCATAGAAAATGAGTCACATTTGCTACTTTCAAATACATATTTACCCATTTACTTTCAAATATTATTCATATTTACCTTCGTTTACTAACTGTGTTCAACACTAAAATAGGCACGTAAGGCCTACAACAATAACAACAACAACAACGTACCCAATAGTCTAGGAAGCATAGTGTGTACGCAGACCTTACTACTTTGAGAGGATAGAAAGGTTGTTTCCAATAAACTCTCGGCTCAGACACGTGGAAGGCCTACGATTAATTAAAGTATCCCCCTCTCCCCTCTTAAATCTATATCTCTGTTTTATATTTGTATCTATATATATCTATCTATATCTATACCATATTAGAAGCACAAGGATCCTTAGGCGAAATATCATTCGTCTTTTTTATCATTAAAGAATAGAGTTCACATTGGACAACATTGTCATTAACATTAGGACTTTGAAAACATCAAAATTTTACTCAAATTCTCAGCCTTTTCATTTTAACACCTATATATTGATGAAATAAGTATTAATAATAGGGAAATTTTCAAAAATTAGCCAAAACACTACAGTTACACTCACATAGCAACATTTTACAGTTTAAATCCACATAGTTTCTCTAGCACAAGATGTTTTATATACCGGGAAAAGGTCCAAAATTTGCTCGTGTGTTATTCGAAATTGCTCCATGCTGCCCTCCATTTCACTTTTAGTCCATCCATATTACCTTTACCATTAATAGAGTTTCAGCATGAAATGAATTACTTTACATGTCCAAATTTTACGAGTTTAAATTACCCCTAAATTATTGACTCTGATATATAATTACTCTAGGTGCAGCGTCATTAGGGTTTAAGAGCTTCACTAATAAGAGATCGTTTGGTAGGAGGTATAACAATAATCCTGAATATAGTGTATTAGCAATGCTAGTATTAGTAATGCTGTGATTAGTTATGCTTAGATTATTTCTTATCTACTGTATCGTTTGGTGTATTAAAAATATTGCATAATTTCTATAAAATTTTTGGTTGTTTACAAAAATACTCTCCACATTCTTTAACTTTGTACACTTTGAGAGATTTGAGGGGCAATAATATCTTCAACCATGCTTATGCCAGTTTTAAAAACCTTTGCATTGCTAATATCATAAATTTCTATGTATTAGTTATACATAGGATAATACCAAATAAGATGTATACCTAATACAAGTATTAGTTATACATAGGTCGAAAAATGCACCAAACAAGAGATTATTAGTAATGCACAAAGCTAATACTTGCATTATATTTTCTAATACCTCCTACCAAATGACCCTAAGACTTTTTACTAATTTTGGAGGGGGGGGGGGGGGGGGGGTTTTGTTTAATGTTAGACCAAAATTTTGAGGAAGACAAAGTCGCTCAATCTTGAATGGTACTAGGGCAAATTTTATCTATGTACCTTCTATACCTTTTGCTAGAGTATTAATCTTAGATAAGGGACTTATCATATATTGACTAATTTTACGCTGGTTGTCAAACTACTGCACTAGGCCACCTTATAAGCGGCGTGTGAGCAAGCTCACACATGCGGAGGTTTCCAACTATGTAGGAGCATATTAAAATCTTTCAAACAAGGTAAAAGAACCATATAATGCTCATGAGAATATGTGAATGGTAATACCTTAAATCAAGATGAAACGGCTGTTATTTTGTGTAGAGAACTTGCCATCCTAAACAGCTGCTAGTCAAAAGTACACTAAACAGAAAAAGTAGTACACTTCCAGAGGCGCATCATAGATTCAAGCATGCCAATATTTACAAGATCAAGCGCTTGATCCATTTATTTATCGTCATCACCTTCTAGTAACCTCCTTGTATGTAAGCATTTTCAGCTCATCCCTATGCTCAGTTGCAACAGCACGGACAACAACTCCGATGGACACCATCCCTATCATACCAATCGTTGATATATTGCGTCAGTAAAATAGAAATGAAGTTGAAAGAGAGCTTTGAAGCGTGAAAACTGATTCTCCTTAAGGAATATTAGATGTGTATTATTTAGGAGAAATGAGGCAGAAAAATGGCACCTTTCAGAACTTGAGTTTTTGGTGTGACTGTGATGAGCTTGTTTAGCAAACCAAGATATATTCAATATTTCACAGACAAAAAAATATCTTAAAACATGACGAAGCTACACATGGAGACATGATCATAGTTCAAAATTCAAAATTAGGACAAAAAGCAAAGAGGTATCACCTCTTTCTCTAATAATTCCAGCGATTGATTTGTTTTCCCCAGTTTCCAAAACCACCAAAGGCTCCAACAATACGGTTTGTCTTCTGCATTGAAGCAAACAATCAGTTATCTCAAATTCTCACAAACAGAAGCAACATTACATAAGCGTGCATATAAATACAAAAATGTAAATTTACCCATTGCGCATCATCATAACATAGTATCATCTGTTGTGCACAACATCATCTTTCAAAATGCCAGATATTGTCGTGCTTTCGAAGACCATGTCCTTCCATACAACGCAGTTGAAGTCGAGTCATGACGTGAAAACATAAGTGGCTGCATTGCTGGATTCAGTAGTGGTAGAACAACATTCTCGAGTAAATTTCCATGAAAAATGATTGCTTGAATTCCTCCTTGCATTTTGCCACCATCTTTTTAGATTTAGACAGATTTGTTTACAATAGCAGCCTAAGGTCTTGCTCTTAAGATCATTGTGATAGTGACTATCAGGCAAGTAAAAAAATCTAACTAGATGAAAGCTATCATAATTTAAACTTAATAGTTAAAATTCATAGTCTGAAATAAAGAAACAAAACAATTACAGTTGCAAACAGATTTCTACTTCTTCAAAACAAATCAGTTCCCTCCATCTTCAAAACAAGACTTTTACCACTGAAAATGCTATTCTTGGACTTATAATGTGTACACATGAGGAAACCCGAATCGCTTACGCAAAAAATATGATTTCATAAAAGTAGAGTGGCATAACAATCAAATTATTAGAACTGATCCTCCCCAATAACCTTGCTTGGATAGCTCAAGAAATGCTATAGTTGCCATTGTTTCAACTCGCAATTCGACTAGATATGATTTATTCGCAGAGGTAAAGGAAATTGCATCATAGTGGTAACTATAGCTGAATAAATCAAGTGAAATAAATATCAGTTCTTGTTTTCCAAGTGAAATTGTGGTATCATGTTAAGCAAAGAAGGATCCTTCGCTATAGCATCTATTAGTAACTTCGCTATAGCATCTATTAGTAACTCTACTGTACTTGCATCAAATGAGAAGCCCCTTCGAGCCATTTCCTTCGAAAAAGTTATCATTTCACTAGTTTTGCCAAACTTGAGAAATCCTCGCACAATAATATTGTAAGTGACATCGTTTGGCGAATGACCATTCTCATCCATTTTTCGTAACGTATCTTTAGCTTCATCTAACAACCCTTCTACACAAAATCCACTATCATTGGGAAACAATCCAATTAAAGAAAGCTTCTCAAAAAAAGCATGAGCTTTGTCGAAATGTCCATTTTTGCACAATCCATCAATTAGCACATTATAATGTTCAATATCAATATCTTCTCTCTTTGCTTCCCGCTCATGAAATAGCAACATAGCTTTCTCAACAAGTCCATTCTGGAAATAACCACGGAGCAAAATCTGAATAGTGCATAAATCGGGCTTGAGCCCCGTAGATAGCATCTCAGCAAAGAATATTTCAGCAAAGTCAGTTCTTCCAACTTCAAATAGACCTTGCAAGATAGTACTGTATGTAACAATGTCAGGTTTCAGTCCATTTCGAGATATTTCACGAAACAGATGCATGGCCTCATCCAATTTCTTTTTCTGACAATATCCATTTATTAATATGGTATAGCTAAAAATGTTAGGCTCAATGCTCTTATCTATCATGGAATCGAAAAGTCTCCTTGCTCTGTCCATTTGACCGCGCAAGCAATATCCATCAATTATCACATTGTAGGTGACCACATCTGGCCCTACACCTTTTTCAATCATGTGTTTCATTACTTCCTCGGCATCTTCAACTTTTCCTACTTTGCATAGTCCATCTGTCACTATGGTCAAGGTGCAAACATCTGGATAAATATTAAGATTTACCATTTCAGAGAACAAAGTCCTAACCTTTTCCCACTGGCCAAGCTTACAGAAACCATCAATCAATGAACTATATGTGACAATGTCTGGAGGAATGCCTTTTTGTTTCATCTCTTCAAAAAGGCTAATAGCAGCATCTAACATCCTATCTTTGCATAGGGCATCTATAACAATGTTATAGATGTATGCATTGGGCTTAGTGCTTCCTTGTTCCATTACCCTAAGCAAATCGAAAGTTTTTTGACTATGACCCCTTTTGCTAAGCCCATTCATGACAATTGAATACATAAATTCATTAGGCTCACAAATATTCTCTCGCACCAACTTTTTGAACAAATTAACCGCATCTTTGATCTTATTTTCCGCAAAGAGTCCCCTTAGTAAGGTGTTAAAAGTGACAACATCAAATGGAATGCCATTCTTCAAGTAAATGGCTAACATTGAAAATCCACAATCAGGACGGTGCATTAGGCAATAACTGTTAATCACAATAGTCAAGATGAAACCATCGATTGGGACACCCGATTTTCGCATTTCTTCAAAAACAGAAACAACAGAAGAGTAATGCTTCATATTTACCATAGTCTTCAATAATTTTGAGAATTCGAAAACAGAAGGAAGAGGCTGAGTTCTGACCATTTGACGAAAGAGATTCAGAGCATCATTTAAACACTTGACATTCTCAATATTGCTACGAGATGAAGAATAATATCTGATTGCAATTGGCGAAGCGGAAGGTGAAATAGCAGAAAAAGAGGGAATAATACCATTGGAAGAGTAACGCAGCAGAGAAATTCTCGTCATCTGATTGCAAATGCCGAAGAGAAATTGTGTGCGCCCTAATTGAAGAAGGAGCTGAAATGCGGCAAGGGGCTGTCCAGTTAGTATTTGTTAAGTTCCCTAACTGACAGTTAGGCCCTCTTTATTTCAAGTAGAAGTTTTATTACATCCACATTTGGCTAGTCATTCTAGCTTCTGTTTACAATTTTAGTCCTCACGTGTTCCAAGTGGAAGAAGGGGTACTGTATTTGTATTTGGATTTTGCCATTTTTGGGAGTTTATGAGTGAAGAAGTAACTTACCTACTTCTCTCTTTAGTTTAATTTAGTCTTTCTTGTTCTAGTTTATATCACTAATTTTGCAGAAAATTTGTTTGGTGGGGTGTTATTTCAAGTATAAGCAATCCCAAGATTGGTTTATACTTAACCAGTCTTTATTCATATTATATTATGAATACATGTATGTATCACATTTTATAGACCCTACGTGTAATGCACATAACTCATATAATGCCTATATACAATAACATGTACTACCTATCCATGAATTCAATGCTTACCATCATGGCTAACAAGCGTTACGTTGGGACTTGAACCCCACGTCTTAAATAACTTTGTTATAGGAGCAAAAACACGGAAAGGAACCAATGCTCTCTGAAGTGTATTTGGGAGCTAGGGAATTAATGTTAATGAGTCAATCGTTTTTTTCTTAGATGCTAAGGGTTACACATTTCAGGAACCTGACATTCATACCCAAGAGTTCCATACGTTAAGAACTAGTCTTCCTTGAGTTTGGTGGTACATGAAATGCTTTAGAATCTTCCACTAGATCGAGGGGTTCGAGACTCTGTATTGATCAATAAGACTAATTCAGTGTATCGTAAGGATGCTCCATATGCTTTAGCATTTGGGAACATCGTCACATCAAGTACATCTACTCATGCTGTTGTAATTGTTTTACATCTTTTTAATTTTAATGGACACTGTAGAGAATTTTTACACCGTGTGAGATTAATTTGACCTATTCTAACCTGTTGTCTGCCTTATTTTCTCAGTTACTAGTTCCCCTTATTATGTATAGTTACATATAGTTATCTTTAATTAGGTGACCTCTTATAGGGTGTATAGAAGTAAAACTCTTTTTCAATTGATAAATTACCTATAATATGTTTATATGATACTCTTATAGTTTGACAGGTAAAGCTGCTATATAGCATTTTCAAACAGAACTTTTCAATGGATAGACACCAGTGATTTCATTTGTAAGACATCCATGGTAATTCAAGCTTACTTGGTGCTGGCCAACTGTTCGCGGAGGAGATTAGCAGCTGCAACCAAGTTGCTGAGTGCAGGCTTAACTTCAGTATACTTGTGCTTCCAGAAGCTATAGACAGGGTTACCCCAGAGGATATTTGTATCAACGACTGCAAGGATCTTGCTGATCCTGTCAGCAACTTGTTCTGTCAATGAAATCTTTGGCTAATGGATGTCATATACTCAAGGGAAATCCCAGCACCATAATTCACAAAAAGAAGCTTCTCACCTGACCTGAAGGTCGCGATGGTGATCACATCAACATCCATGTCGATAATCCAATGACCAATGGATGATGATGTCATTGAAGTTTGAATAGCATGGTTGTAAATCTGTCACAAACAAGGGCCAAGAAAATTAGAATCTTGTAAAAGAAAGAAAAATATTACTCCCTCCCATGCTTTTATTTTCCACGTTAGTCACACAAAAAAATTGGTTCAAAATATTTGTCAATTTAGAAAACAAGAAGGCTCAACTATTCTTCCCAATTCCGCCCGTACTACTCCAAGTCATTACTGACTCGTCTAAAGAAAGGATAAGAGTAATTAAATTAAAAGTCCATAATGATTACTGTTACTGGATGAATTTTTCAATTAGTGTACCAAAACCTTAAAGGGGTACCACCCCTTTAAGAGATGAATTTACTAAGCAGGATAATAATACCCCTGCTAAAGAGCCAACAAAAGAAGCTAAAAGTCTTCCAGAGATAGCTCCAGTAGATAAAAGTAGTTCTTACACTGAATCTCAGAGTAATCGTCAGATGATGCGACTAGTGATTAAACAGCCAGAAATACTAGAGGTTTGGCTGCAAACCTGAAGAATCCAAGAAAAATGAAGAAAATGACTCTTGGTGCTCTATTGGTTATTGGTATTGCGAACGAAGCTGAAGAAATAGGACTAGCCTTTCTATAGCTCAAGTTTGGTTGGGATATTTGCATTTCCCTCCCAGCTATGATTGTGAATAGAATAACAAAGGATCCTCTTTTCTTCTAAAATCCATTTGCTATGAATCAAAAAACCAGCACTTGAATAAATCATATGCTAATGAGGTGAAATGGTATGCATCTCATTAGAGGTCTTGATCAAATTGAAAATCTTGAAGTTAAATTGAAATTTTTTTGAGTATGAAAATAATGAAGTCATTAAATCAGAATAACACCAAGAAAAAAGAGTGAGAAAAACATAATTGAGAACCTCAATTTTCAATATCTTATAAAAATGGGGAGCTTCTTATCAAGATAAGTGCACCTTGAAGCTCATTTAATTCATCCTGGCACACCGAATTCATGTAAAGATGTTTAAGACGGTTCAGAGCAGAGAAAAGCCTTCTTGGTGCTCAATCAAAACATCAGGATGATACATAAGCCCAAAAGATGATACACCTATAAAATATGCATTACAATGATGTGGTGAAACAGCACTTACCCTAAACATACAGTATATCCAGTGGAGATTTTCAAGAGCAGGAATAGACTCAAAAAAATTGGCAAGCACATGATTTCCTGCCTTCCCAAAAGATGGTGTGAAGTGAAAAGAAACTTTTGCAAGAAGAGGAACATTTTTTAGATGAAGTATATGTACATTGTCTGAGAAAAAAATAACGTCAGCCTGTGAGCATCAATTTCAATGTGGTTTGAATTAAATGGTTGTTCCACCACCAAATGCTCAAGCAATGGGCAATAGGAGATTACAGAGGAAATTGTGACTTAGCTACAGGCTGATTAATGAAGACAGGTGGAGGATGTACGAAACATCTTTGAAGAGTCAAATGCCTCAACTGCAAACATGTGAAAAATGAAGAAGGCAATTCGTATGAGATACCGTTCATAGGGCAGTCGTCAAGATCAGTAATGGAGAGGATAAAATTTGTAATGGGTCCAGCAATCTTGATTGTTTTATATTCAAAACCAGTATTCTTCTGAAACAGGCAGAAGAATAAATATCAAGAGTAAAGAAGGCAGAAGGATAAAAACTGTATATAAGCATCCCCGTGAAAGGCTTCTCCTTCAATTTCTACACTTGAGAAGAATGCTACATTGTGAGGCTCAGCGATCCTGGTTGTTTTATATTCAGGTAGGCAAAGTTCTTCATTTTGTCCTAGTTCTTGCTGGGATTATTCTGGGCCAAAACGAATAAAGAGAACCAAAGAAAATAAAAAAATAAGGTTCTGTGCCAATTTGCAACAAATTCACTTTCCATGCAAATTTGCAAAATGAAAACTGAAAAACTGCCCCTCCGATACCCATTAGCTGTCTTTTAAGGTTTTTGCACATCCGTTATAAAAGACATCTAATTTCTGGGCATTTGTCTTAAGAGTAATAAATACTTCTTTTCTTTATTTTGAAAATTCAAATATCTTGGAACAAATTCAGTTTACCGAACACGTCAAAAAATCTGAACTGGAGCTAGTAGAAACAAACAAGACAAGTTGACTACTTAGATAAGAAAGGATTTTACCTTTTGAAAGGCAAATGTTACCAGCATTTTCTGCTTCCTGTGCAGTCATGTATGCTACACGACTTTTGAACAATTCACCAGCCACTGCCACTGTCGCCTTGAAATTAAGATCATGATGCTCTTCCTTTTACTTGGAACACAGGTTCACCAAGTTTTTTTCCTTTTTGTGTACATCTTCAGCTTCATCTTGTACTGATAGTGTGAATCTTCTGTAATAAAGCAGCCTAATTTAGACGTTCAAGGAGAAGCAGAACTACATGGTATAGAAGATAAGTTGCAGAAGGTACTTCATACACTACAGGGGAGATAACCTTATAAAAACATTGCAAAGTATCTTCTTCAGAAAAAAATCGCTAAGTACAACCTTTTGGTTAAAGTAGCAACTGAAAGTCTCATATTTCTAGATGTACTTCAACTAGTTTACTTGGAAGACACAAAAAAAAATGGTGCAACTAGAGATAGATAGTAGTAAAAGCTTTCCAGGCACAAAAGAAGACACTACAACAGAATGATAAAGAAAATTCCATAAATACAAAGCAGCAATGGTGTCCACAAAATATCAGTGCTTGTTGCTTGCTGATGCTTGCGATACTGAAGGACTCGTAGAAGAATAAGCAGCCAAAGACACGCTAAATAAGGCAATGACATTGACACCAAATCTCGAAAGTCAAAAGAATTTAATGTAGCAAAAACCATCTTAAGGTCTTTACCTTGTTTGATCACAGAAGTATGTAGATGATCCTGCAGATCTTAAAACATAAGGAAAAAGCTACAAAAAGATAAAATAAAATGAAGGATTCCTAGAAGAATAAGCATCAAACACAATGGTAATGAAACCAAATTATCAATAAAGAAATTGAAGTGTAGTAACAATCAATGCAACATAAAACCATCTTAAGATTTTCACCTTGATTGATCTCAGAAGTATTTAGATGATCTTTCATAATTTGGGAGATTCCTCAATTTTTGGTATCAGGACTAAAAATCAACCTTGCAAAATGTGAGATCATACCAGTTGGCAAGGTGGTAAATATCGAGGCTCTTCCTACTACTTATTTCGGAGTACCACTAGGGGCGTCTAATAAGGACCAAGCAATTCTATCACTACATGGGGATAAGTTTTCACTTTTTTACACAAGAAAACTTCGTAAAGTACAACCTTTTGGTTTAAGTAGCAGCTGGAAATCTCATATTTCTCGATGCACTTCAGCTAGTTTACTTGGAAGATACAAATTGTATTAAAAGCTTTCCGGAC